TAATGAAAGGAGATGGGGATAGGACTCCTGTGGTACAATAGTGAATAATTGTTGTCAGGACTGACTGTGAAGGTTGGAAATGTAAAGGTGGACGTTTGTAGCAAAAGGAGGGGACTGATTGACTTTGCAGTCCAGGAGCAAAGGTCCCTGATACCGTTCAAGGGAGAAGAGCGGAGAGCGGGATCCTACCCAAAGAATCAGTGACATCAGAAATGGAGGCAGAGACGATGACGTGGAGAGATGGAGCGGCTGGGGACTCTAGACCCAGAGAGGGAGAGGAACTGTGTGCTGATAACTGGGGGACTGGCTTGCAGGGTATACCCTTTGGTTGATTGATGATGCATGGAAGGAATTGTAACCATGGCAACGAAATGATATACGATAGGATGAATGTAAAGCTAATGTTTTCCTATGTAAACTATCACTTAATTTACAATAAAATATGTATATATTTTAATACTAAGGAGGAAAAAGCACATGAGAATTCCCATTGATTCTACAATTTTAAGAAAATCATGGTGAGAGATAAAGATTACGAAAAAGACCCAGACTTTAAAGAAATTTATATTGCTTTTTCATATAATCTTATATATGTTATATATTAAGTATACAGAAGTATATTAATATACAGGAGTTCTGGTGTGGCACTATGGGTTAATGCGCTGGACTGTAAAGCCTGTTTGAGCCGCAAAGTTGGCGGTTTAAGCTCACCATCCACTCCTAGGAAACCCTATACAGTGTCGCTATGGGTTGGAACTGACTCAACAGTACTTAACAACATATTAAGTAATGGGCTCCTGGTGTGATGCTGTAGAATAAGCACTGGACCACAAGGTCCATTTGAACCATGATGTCGGCAGTTCAAATTCAGCAGATGCTTCTGGGAAGCCCTATGCGAGGTTGCTATGAGTTGGAACCGAGTTAGTGGCACTTAACAATAACAACATATTAAGTGTTTTGTTTTGCCCCGTCTGCTCACAGGCATTTCTTGCATGGATGCCACAGAGCTTAAATAAAAACTAAATATTAGTTTGGGTTGATGATACACTTGATTTCCTAGTTACAGTAGGAATCCTTTCCACCACTGGATGGAATCAGGCTCTGTCAGGAGGAGCCAGCCACATAATCCAACAGGGCCCTCCATTTCTCCTGCTGCATTTTCAGCAGCATCAGTATAATTTTCACCACTCAGTGGGTTCTTGTACTGCTAGCTTGAGCTTCAGTTGCTACTACAGCCACTTTGTAGTCACAACCAGATTCTTTTAACCATTCAGTTTATCATCAGTATTCTCTGGAGCTGACATTAGTGCTAGACATAATCTAACTTCGTGCTTTAAACCACAGATATTCCGTGAAGGGTACAGGTGCCCATTGGGTGGTGTCATAGCTCTCCACTGCTGCTTTCACACAAGGAGAGGGCTTTAACAAACAGGAGTTTATTCCCTCACAGTTTAGGATGCTAGAAGTCTACATTCAGGGTGCTGGCTCTTGGGGAGAGCTTTCTCCTTGTCGGCTCTGGGGAAAGGTCCCTGTTTCCTCTCAACATCTGTGAGCAAGTATTCTTGGAGATGTTCATACATCTCGGTGTCGTCACTCTTTCCCTGGATCTAGTTGCTTCACAGTTCAGGGGGCCTAGGTCCAAAGGATGCGCACCACTCCCAGCTCTTCTGTCTTGGTGGGAGTAGGTCCCTCTGAGCTCTGCTCACTTCTCTCTCCTTTTATATCTCAAAAGAGATTGACTCAAGACACAGCCTGACCCTGGGGATTGCATCTGACTCCATGAACATCCTAGAAGTGAGGATTGATAGCACAGGACAAGGACATCAGCTCAGAGCTGATCACATCAGACCGTGCCATTGTTGTTGCTGTTATTAGGTGCCACTGAGTTGGTTCCCACCCATAGCGACCTTATGCACAACAGAACAAAATACTGCCCGGTCCTGAGTTACCCTCACAATCATTGTTCTGCTGCAGCCACGATGCCAGACCATCTCAGTATGACACACTGACAGATGAGTGGTGGAGATCATGTCTGGGGGTGATGGCATCATAATAGAGCTCTTCTTGGAAGTGATAACTACATCTTAACTGCAAAACCACTGAGAATCATGGCCCAGCCAAGTAGACACAAAACTGTAACTATCACAGGCAGCACACACTACAGTGGACTTGGGAGCTGAACTCTCTATTGTCCTAACCACGACTGGATGCATGAGAGTCCATAGAATGGGTTAGCTGTTGTGACCACATATGTGCAGGCACTCAGCCCCGGCACCCTCACTGACTGGCTTTCTCTGTACTTTCTCAAATAGTTGAACCAGAAGAAGAAGATGTACAGCAAGAAGAAAAAGAAGGTACTCCAGACTCGGAAACAGCGAAATGAGCAGCATCAGAAGACTAGCTTGCTGCAGGAGCTGAAGTTAATGGAAGATGCCCCTGTAAGAAAGCCTGCCTCCTACTTCAGTCCTGAGCATGGGGCGCAGAAGAGGGGGTCCAGGTGTACTCTGATACAGGAAGGGATGGGTACTGGAAGGGGAAGCTATCCATTGTAAGTTCAGAGACCTTCCCTGGCATAGCAAGACTGGGTTAGAACCAAATCTGGATTCCCACAAAAAAGAGGTGACTGGAACAAGTCCAGCGTGGCAGATGGATGCTGAGGAGACAGCTCCTTCCCAGTCTTAATCCTAGCTGCCACAGTCACACCACATCCTCTGCTTCCTAAAGATGGAAAAGCTTTCAGCGGTGGGAGTTTTGCCTTTGGGAGTCAATTGGATTAGTTATGAATGGTTCCATTAAGAAATATTCTCTTTGTTCTCAATCCCTCTAGGAAAGGGCAGGATTTGCTTCTACTCTGCAAAAACAGCCCACCTTTTTAAAAAATCCGGAGCCTCCTAGTTCTTCAGTAATGAAACGTGACAAACCAAAACTGAATGAGGTAGCATTTTTGCTTTCCACTTTGTCACACTAAGTGTCTGAGTTCTCCACTTAGCACATCTCTCCAGCAAGGCAAAGAATGCCATTGTTATCTATTCCATCTTCACCTACCAGGGCTGCTGGGAGCAGGAGACACCAGAATTTTCAGGGAAATTGACTCTGCCCCTGAAGTATGATATCAAATATTATCAGTAATTGTGTCTTTGTGCCAAAGGCCTAAGAGCAGACTGCTTCATCATCCTTCCATCTACCTCTTCATCCATCCAGCCAACACATTGTATTGCTCACCCACTAAATGCCAGGCTCCCTAATGGAATGAAGTATTAAAACACTACCCTTGCCTTGGGAACCTTAGAGATGGGTGGGAATTTTAGCCAGTGCATAGACAATTACGTCACAGAGTCGGGTACAGTGGGAGCACAGAGGACAGGCACACAACCAACTGTTAGGTTATTTTAACATTGTGGAGTCTGTGGCTCTAAAGTCCTCGATTCTTTTACGTATAAAAATGTGTTTTGGTACAATGTTGTTGTTAAGTGCCGTTGAGTCGATTCTGACCCATAGCAACCCTGTATAGGGTCTTTGAGGAGTGACTTGTGAACTTGAACTGCCATCCTTGCAGTTCAAATGACTTTGCAGTCCAGCGCTTAATGTGCAGCGCCACACCAGGACTCCATTTGGTACAGCAGTAGTTGATTTTTAGTGAAAAGAGGCAAGGTGAGCCTTCCTGGTGCTGAATGCTACATCATGGTTAGCACTGTTAAAATGAGGTTCCCTGCATTGCACTGGGGGACCCCCAACAGAACACACTGTCACTAATTGGTATTGAGGACCACTGGTGTCTAGTGTAATAGTGGCAGGAGCACAGGTTGCATTCTGTCTAGAATTCATGTTCCAGCCCATTCCAACCTCACTGTTTAGAATTCCCTGGTTTACTTAACCACGCTAAGACACAGATCTGCCTCTGGAAACGTGCTGATCTTGGTTGGCCTTATGTCGACTCTGACTCAGGGCAGCCTTACGTCTGACAGAGTGGAACATGGCCCACCTTCATGATTGTGGGTGTGAGTTAGTGTGTCATTGTTGTGGCCATTGTGCCAGTACATCTACTGAGGGTTTCCTTTGACTCTGATGCCCTTCCACATTGCCAAACATGACGTCCTTCCAGCGACTGGTCCCTCCTGATGATACATCCAAAGTAAGTTACTCGCAGTCTCAGACTGTGGTCCCTATGGCTGTCATTGGCTAATTTTTAGAAAAATAAAGAGTAATGATACCTGAATCTCAAGGTTGTTGTGAGGATTCGATGACAACATGTGTGCAGAGTAGCTGCATGCATGGTAGACTGGTTGCCATTGAGTGGTCCCATGTATGTCAGAGCAGAACTGTGCTCCATAGAATTTTCAGTGACTGATTTTTTGGAAGCACCAGGCCTTTTTTTCGAGGCATCTCTGGGTGGGCTTTAAGCACTAGCCCTATGGTTAGTAGCCAAACATTAACCATTTGCACCACTCAGGGGACTCCACAGTATATGGTTAGCACTCAACAAATACTAGTTCTCTTTCCTTCTTCTTATTGGAGGATTAGTTTGTGTTCTCCCTCTCATTCTGCGTCAGAGTGTCAGAGTGTCAGATTGTCATAATCACATGAATAACCTGTGTTCAAAATAATCACACTTGTTTGAGTGGGAAGTTCAGTGTGGATGTGCTCATTTAATTTTAGACACGGTTAAGTGGAAGAAACAGAGACACCTCCCTGGATCCATCCAAAATGGCCACCCTAATTAGGACTAAGAGTACAGAGAGACTACAGGTACTACACACCTGCCAATAATTCTACTTACTTTCCCAGTGCACCCTGGGATTTGGAGGGATGGTGAGCCATAGGGTCTGTCTTTTTTGCTCAGGTGAACATGCAAGGGAGTTTATACTCTCAGTCCACCCTGGGACCCAGCCCCCCAGAATTCACTGTTAAGCACCCATTATTTTGTATGCCTTGGTGTGGCAAGCAAGGGTAAGCAAGGGACTGCTGAATGCAAGGTCGGCAGTTCAAACCCACCAGTCACTTCTTGGAAAACCCTATACAGCATCTCTGTTCAGCGGCACTTCACAGCAACAATAGCGACATCTCAGGGAAACTTGTAATTCAGTGGCGTGGCGCTCAGCATGCAGATGTTAGCAGAGTGCCACCAGTAGCCGCGAGAACCACCTCAGGCCCAGTATCAGCTGCGTTCACCCAGTCCCGAGTGGTGTGGGTGATTTGCTTTTGAAGAAGAATAAGTGAGCGTGGACCCATCCCCATCCCCACAATAACATCTTTCTCATTCATTTGCATGTTTCTGGAATGGTAGGAAAGGGGCCGAAGAACCAGCTTAGTAAACTGTCCTCCATGGGACTGTGCAGCTCACCCACGTCTGGGTGGAAGAAAGGTTGAGAACCTCTGGATTAATAAGGGAATGGATCCTTCTCCCAAGGACAAGTCCCTTGCTTGGGACTTCACAGAGTGATGTTCTCATTTACCCACTGATATCTTATTAGCCGCAAGGTCAGCAGTTCAAAACTACCAGCTGTTCCATGGGAGAAAGATGAGGCTTTCTGCTCCCATCAAGATTACAGCCTTGGAAACCCCATTCAGGGTTGCTATGAGTCAGAACCGACTCCATGGCATATAACCACCACCGCCACCATCTTATTAGCACAAGGAGTCCTGGTAGCGTAGTGGGTAACCCACTGGGCTGCCAACCACAGGGTCAGCAGTTTGAATCCACCAGCCACTCTGTGGGAGAACGATGAAGCTTTCTGTTCCTGTAAAGATTTACAGCCTTGGAACCAACTTGACAGCCTGCAGCAGCAGTAGCAGCGTCTGACCAGGCAACGCTGTCCCTACGGTCTCCATGCATTGGAACAAAGTCAGTGACAACTAACAACAACATCTTATGGAGAACCTACCATACATGGGGCCCTTAGAGGACTAAACATGCAGTCCCTGCCCTTCCAGCAAGGATCCTCCAGGAAGGCTGCCAAGAGAGATCGATCACCATGGTATAACAGAAACAGAAGAGCAGTGAAAAGGGAGGGTTAAATACAGTCAGTTCAAAGAGGATTTCTGTCCGGACAGACTGAGAAATGAAGAACTGGCCTCTTCTCCCCTCAGCTCCCATCACAATAAACTGCACCCCGCGAAGGGAAATGTGCTAGTTAAACAGTAACATTCAACCATGAACTTACTAAAAATCAGTCTAGTGGATGAATGCTTACCCAGATCTTCCCCTTCAATCTCATAGCATTTCTCTCGTGATGCTTCTTGAACAGAGATGTCGACATTGAACTTGCAGGCATGTTAGAGGTGGTCTCCCACCTTGATCCATCAAGCTCTCTTCCTCTGTGTAATGTTTCTAAGCAGTCCCTCAGCTTTCCAAAGCAGTTCCGATATTGCCCATGAATGTTTCTATGGTCATCTGAGGGAGCAGGACAAATGCTTGATTCCTATCTGCCCTGTATTTAGGGGCTGAGGGCTGGCAAATGCAAACAGTCATGGCTTAACTCATTGTGAAACCAGTCCCAACCCTGATTATAGCTTTTGAACTGCATCAGGTGATTCTGACTTTTCTCTCTTGTTTGCACAGAGCAAGAAGCCAGGCTTCACCATATCCTGCTCCAGGAACAGAAACACCAGCACCAGTCAGGACCTGGCTCCAGGTCGGAAACCAAACTGGCCTGGGAGCAGATACCCTGTCTTGAAGAGAAGCCGTGCCACCATGCCAACGTACCCATCCCTGCACATATATACCTACCCATAGGCGGGCCTGCGCTCCACCGCACACACAGGCGGTGCTTTGTGTTAGACACACTCTGTCATGGGAGCCATGGGGCTGGGAGCGGCGTTGGTTGGGGGTACACTGTGTTGTGCATTCACCATGCACTCCCTGTCCACTCTGTGCTTACATTTTGCCTAGGCCCTCAAGATTAATACCTCATGAATTAAATTATTTTTTCATACAGTGAAACTTTATTATGAGCAGACTGCTTTATCATTCTTCCATCTACCTCTTCATCCATCCATCCAACACATTGTATTGCTCTTTACCAAAAACTCAGGTATGTGCTCCTGGAACTACAACACAGATACACCTCATTCAATCGATAGGTATTCTCCCTAAAATTATATCCAAGTGAATTTCAAAAAGCCCAAACCACTTGCAACATACTCTGGGAGAGCACTAGATAAAAATAGGAGTCTGGTGTCAAAGCCTTCTAGTAAGAAGTGATCAGTCAGGGTCTCTCAAAGAGAGAAAGTAGTTGTCATACTACCAGAATCTACTGTGGCATAGATGTTAAACATGGTTACGTATGTTTGCTTAGCCCATGGATTGAAACGTTTCCTTCAATGGATGAACTGCCAATTGATGTCATCTACACACAGCAATAAGTCACAATGCCACTTGAAAGACTCTGCTTTGGAGATAGGAAACTGCTAGATTCTGGTTTTCCAAGCTGCTCTCAGAATTTTTTTTTTTTCAACTTTTTATTGTGAATTGAGGGAAAGTTTACAGAGCAGATCATCAGTTTTATAGTCAACAAATCCTATACTTTGCTTCACTGTTGTTAGGTGCCATCGAGTCG